AAGAGGCTAGGACTTTTCAGCTTGGAAAAGAGGAGACGAGGGGGGGATATGATAGAGGTGTATAAAATCGTGAGTGGTGTGGAGAAAGTGAATAAGGAAAAGTTGTTGTTTACTTGTTCCCATAATATAAGAACTAGGGACCACCAAACGAAATTAATGGGCAGCAGGTTTAAAACAAATAAAAGGAAGTTATTCACACAGCGCACAGTCAACCTGTGGAACTCCTTGCCTGAGGAGGTTGTGAAGGCTAGGACTATAACCGGGTTTTAAAGAGAACTAGTTACATTCATGGAGGTTAAGTCCATTAACAGCTGTTAGCCAGGATGGGTAAGGAATGGTGTCCCTAGCCTCTGTTTGTCAGAGGGTGGAGATGGATGGCAGGGGAGAGATCACTTGATCATTACCTGTTAGGTTCACTCCCTCTGGGGCACCTGGAATTGGCCACTGTCAGCAGACAGGATACTGGGCTAGATGGACCTTTGGTCTGACCTGGCCCTTCTTATGAATAGGTGTGAAACTGACCAGAGTTTTGTTAGTTTCATTTTGCTGCTTGTTGCAGATATGGTAGTTTTTTTTTTTGCCAGTTGAGGTAGATGGGGCTGGATGGAGTCACATTTGGAAGTTTTTAAACATGAAAGCTTAGACTCTGCAGAAATGGATAGTCTAGCTGCATGTCCTTTACTTGGCAAGATTTTGTTAGTCCTGCGCTTATATAAGGTATTAGGTGTCACCATATATGGTAATAGAAAAGACGATGTATTTGAAAGAGCTGAGTTAAGCTTGCTGTGGGAACCATAGCTGAATTTCCTGACTCTTGTGTATGTAAATTCTCAATTGTCGTCATGTATAATATAGCTTTGCATATATTCTAGAGAGTTTCTCCTGTAGATTCTGCTCTTCAGAATGTAGGGTCTGTTGGCATTGACTAATGGTGATAAATGGGAAAAGCTAACTTTCGTGGGATTGAGAAAAAACACATTGCTAATAGCTATTTCCATGTAGCATGGATTAGAAAAATTGATTTTGAAAAATAAAAGGTCCTAGGTTCAAGCTCTTCCATCCAGGGATGTTCAGTAATTAAACAGTTTAAGTATAAGGCTAAAATAATACTGTTTCAATATATTTGATTAATAAAAAAAATAAGTCTGTTGTCACATTAATTTGGTGTTAAGTTTCAACAGTTCTTCTTTTCATTTTAACCTATACTTGTGGTGAGGCTTAATGTTTATGCAGCACTATGAGATCATCAGATGAAAGATGCACAGTAATATTAGGATTATTTCTCTTTTTGTTTTATAAATTAATTACAAACCAAATTCTAGCTAAAGCAAAGAGGGTCAAGAACTGGTTGATCTGGTAAAATTGAAATGCAGGAAACTCAGCCATATTTTAAGCTGAGAAACTGTGACCACTTTTGGAATGTATAACAAGTAGCCTCAGAATAAAACATGAAATGAGAAATAAAGAATGCAAGTTAAGTTGTCTTCTCTTCTTTCCCAGCAAAATCAAGTAGGAAGCTTACATTTCTATATTTGGCGAACGATGTCATCCAGAACAGTAAAAGGAAGGGTCCTGAATTCACAAGAGAGTTTGAATCTGTTCTTGTGGATGCTTTTTCTCATGTTGCCAGGTAAGTTTGAACATTCATCCATTCAGCTTTCCTTCTCCAATTTCTTTCTCCATAGCTTTTATGTTAAATATTCCACAAGTTTTAAATTCAAGTGCTTTTCAGTTATAGGAATATGTTTGCTCAGGAAGGTTAAATTGTCTTTACTAGAAGCTGAACTCTAACTCCTTTCCTTTAAGAAATTGTCAGTTTTGCCTTGCTCTTGAGAAACAGAAGTAAAGTTGTGGGAAGCTGGTTCTGATTTTGGTTCTGTGCAATGACAGTTGGTTTGTGGGTTTTTTGTGCGTAATTCTTTTGCAGGTTAAATACTTTAGACTAATCCATAAATCTCAAAGCTCTGTACAAAGTTGGAAATCATCTCTGGTCTAAAGATGGTGAAACTGAGCGGTTAAATGATTTGTCCAGTCACACAATTTCTCACTAGAAGAGTGTCACACAATGAGTAACTCTTTCCCTTAGTGGGAGAGTTTGAAACAGAACTCGGGTTTCCTGACTACTAGCTATCGGGTCACTCCACTAGACCAGTTTTTCCTATAATGAGCTTTGAAATTGTGTTATTTCAAAATGCTTTTATTAATATGACCACATACACCACTTGGGGGGGGGGCGGGGATAGCTCAGTGGTTTGAGCATTGGCCTGCTAAACCCAGGGTTGTGAGCTCAATCCTTGAGGGGGCCACTTAGGGATCTGGGGCAAAAATCTGTCTGGGGATTGTTCCTGCTTTGAGCAGTGGGTTGGACTAGATGAGGTCCCTTCCAACCCTGATATTCTATGATTCTGCTTTTGTTTTCTGCTGCTGTGCTGCTAATTAGCTGCTATATTTGGTTTTTCCAAAAGATGTGCAGTTTAAAAATTATCTTCATATTTAAACTAATAAATCTATTTCTAGATCTCACTTACCTACCTAAAAAGTTATAGATAAGTCTGAAACATGTAACTAGCTAGAATATTCCCTATAGAAAACTTAATTTAAACTTCCTTCTTCTATACAGTCTCATCAGTGGGCTTTGGAGTACAGTTCTTTTATGTCTTGCTTTTGTGTAGACATCATTTTAATATGCTACTAGATGAGATCTGATTATAGAGTTAAATTATGTCTCAGAATCTATATATCTGGTAGTTCCAAATCGTGTGAGCTTTACTGGCTCATATCAACTGTTATCAAATGATAGGCCTCCTTCCTGTCATAAGATGGTCCATAGCTAGTTAGGATTGTTATACTATTTAGAGACCAGCTTAGTCCCTGAACCAAACAATTATAATGCACAGGGGAATTAAAGAGCATCTAATGACAGTGTGTTCTGGATAACTACATAACTCTTGGCACTATTTCTTATTCCTTAGAAGTCTTGCTAATTTGGTTGATGTTTAATAAGTAAATTCTCATTTGAATGCCTAATGACCCAAACAATTTCCTTTTTAATTAGGATGTCATTGACTGAAACAATCATTAGACGTGAACATTTTAAACTATAAACCTGGTAACTTTGTAGGATTTTCATAGTTCTTTCTACAACAGCAGAAAGATACTATTTTTCCCTCCCTGCAAAAGTTCTTCTGCAATGGGGAGGCGGGCAGAAAAGACTGCGGGTAGTTCTACACACTGGGTTCCAGCTTAAGGGAAAAATGTTACCTAAGTATTTTGCACCGTGTACTCCAGACGGTACAAGAAAGCCTGTCCCCAAGCTTGCATCTTCCTCTGATGGGTGCAACTCCTAATTTGCACGATGGCATTTAAAAAAAACATGCTCATGTTGTTTAACCAAAGTTTTAACTATTTTTTTTTTTAAAATATTTGAACAGAGAGGCAGATGAGGGCTGCAAAAAGCCCTTGGAGCGATTGCTTAACATCTGGCAAGAAAGGAGCGTGTATGGCGGCGAGTTCATACAACAGCTGAAACTTTCTATGGAGGACACCAGTAGCCCTCCACCAAAAGGTAAAACCACAGCTTAAAAAAAAAGGCAGTAACAAATACCACATTGAAAAGTTCATCTGTCACTAACTGACATTAGAACTCTGGTGGTAAACAGGCCAGTTCCTGGTATCGTGTACATCTAAGGTTAGGAGAATTGCTGTCAGAACTGACACTGACAGGGGTAAGTCTACACTGCATTTTAAAACACCTGGGTCTAAAGACTTGGCTGTTTTAGCACCGTAGTCTCAGCCATGTATGTGTCTGAGCTTGGCCTCTGAAGCCCACCCCTCTCCATAGGCTTTCAAGCCAGAGTCTGTAGAGCCATCCTGTAAGATTTGCTGCTCTGGGTTTCTGCTTGCCATTTAGGCAAACCTCTGGACTAATTGTCTCGAAGAGATTTTGCATTAGTAGAGATGACGGATCTGGTTTGTTAGCCTGAGACCTCATGGCCCTGTTACCATGGGCCTGCGCCAGGTCGTTTGACTCTACACTTCCAAGTGGATACACTCTGGATCTATCTTTCTAGACGTGTGTAGATTTTGGGGATATAAGGAACAATCCCGATGGTGACCATTGTCACCACCTCCAGGGTGAGATTAGGACTCTTCTGCTTGCCTGTAGAAACAGGCAACTGCAGTGATGGTCCAACCAAGAAGACAGTGTAACTTGTTGGTTTCCAGGGCACTCTGACAGCTAAAATTGTCCTGCCTCCAGACACGAGAGTGGATGGTTAGGTGGGTCATTACAATGGTCTGTTCTCCACACTTTGGTCCTCGGATGCCCTTCCTCAGTCTGTGTCATCCTTATAGATCACCATGATTTAACAGTGAGTTTTTGGCAAATGGAAGTGGAAGACTAGAAAATGACATTGCAGTTGGTTTGGCTGGTTTCTTTTTAACTCGTGTTGGTAACAACTGAAACTGGCTTTTGTGTGATGGATTTTCAGTGGCTTTCTGACCTAAATTGACTTCAGTCCAATTCCTGGTGGGCATCTATATCACAAAAGGCACCATTATAGCTGGTAGATCAAAGATTGAGTGGATCATAAAGTAAAAACACTGACCTTCTTGCTTGTTTTCCTTGTGGCTTTTCAAACACAAGTAAGATTGCAGTATGTAACAAAAGCAGGTGTGATATTAGCCTTCAGAAAAAACTGACTTCAGTAGCTTCTGAATTTACAAACTACCATGGAAACGGTAGGTTGGAAATCCTGTAGTATAAATATCTTTAGGTTGGCAAAAGGTGGCTCCGTTAAACAAAATTCTTGGAACTCCTGAGGATATTTGATACTCTGATAAAAGAAAAGTATATTCATTTAGTCCTAAGACTGTGTGGTAACTCAAAGCAGAAAATTCTGCATGGTTATGTCTATATATAAACTGGCCATCAGGAAGTTTAGACTTGAAATTAGACAAAGGATTCAAACCATCAGAGGAGTGAAGTTCTGGAACAGCCTTCCAAGGGGAGTAGTGGGGGCAAAAGACATATCTGGCTTCAAGACTAAGCTTGATAAGTTTATGGAGGGGATGGTATGATGGGATAGCCTAATTTTGGCAATTAATTGATCTTTGACTATTAGTGTTAAATATGCCCAATGGCCTGTGATCGGATGTTAGATGAGTTGGGATCTGAGTTACTACAGAGAATTCTTTCCTGGGTGCTGGCAGGTGAGTCTTGCCCACATGCTCAGGGTTTAGCTGATCGCCATATTTGGGGTCGGGAAGGAATTTTCCTCCAGGGCAGATTGGCAGAGGCCCTGAGGGTTTTTTGCCTTCCTCTGCAGCATGGGGCACGGGTCACTTGCTGGAGGATTTTCTGCACCTTGATGTCTTTAAACCATGATTTGAGGACTTCAATGGCTCAGACATAGGTTAGCGGTTTGTTGCAGGAATAGGTGGGTGGGTGAGATTCTGTGGCCTGCGTTGTGCAGGAGGTCAGACTAGACGATCATATTGGTCCCTTCTGACCTTAAAGTCTATGTACACTGTTGTACAAAGCCACCATGATTGATCAGATATGCTTGAATAGATGTGATTTGTTGAACAGGATGGCTCTGAATAAATTCCAGAGCTTTCAGTATGCTTAGGAACCTGTGACACTTGCCCAAATGTGGTGACACCATAGAAGACTGAGTAGGGAAAGTATCAAAACTGAACACTTTGTATTGCAGAAATATTAATATTGATTATTCACTGCTTGCTTGATGTAGCCCTTCTCCTCTTCCTCTCATTTAACTGAAATCATTGCAATTAATTTCTAATCAATTTGAAACCTGTACTGGCTATGTATCCTATGGGTGCATATCTTTATGATACAAAATGGATTGCATGAGTTAAGGAAGAAAACATAAACTCATCACTGAAAGTTTGCAGATAACACACATTGGGGAGTAGTAAATAATGAAGAGGACAAGTCCCGCATAGAGTTATCTGGATCACTTGATAAGCTGAGTGCAAGAAAATATGCACTTTGATATGGTTAAATATATACATCTAGGAGCAAAGAATGTAGGCCATACTTACAGAATGGAGGGCTCTTATCTTGGGAAGCAGTGACTCTGAGAAAGATTTGGCGGTCATGGTGGATAATCAGCTGAACATGAGCTCCCAGTGTGATGCTGTGGCCACAAGGGCTAATGCAGTCCTTGGAGGCATAAATGGGAAGCTTGGGTAGGAGTAGAGAGGTTATATCACCTCTGTATTTGGCCCTGGTGCCACCAAGGCTGTAATATGGTGTCCGCAGTTTATCTTGGAAAGGGCTCAGAGAAGAGCCGTGAGAATGAGTAAAGGATTAGAAAACCTGCCTTACGGTGTTCACTTCAGAGATCAATCTATTTAGTTTAATAAAGGGAAGGTTAAGGGTTGACTTGATCATGGTCTGTAAAGTATCTACATAGGGAACAAATATTTAATGGGCTTTTCAGTCTAGCAGAAAAAGGTATAACGCAATCTAATGCTGGAAGTAGTTGACACTAGCCAAATTCAGACTGGAAACAAGGTGTAAATTTTTAACAGCGAGGGTAATTAACCATTGGAACAGTTTACTAAGTGCCATGGTTGATTCTCCATCACTGGCAATTTTAAAATCAAGATTAGATTCTTTTTTTATATTTAAGATCTGCTCTCGGAATTATTTTGGGGAAGTTCTCTGGCCTATGTTACACAGGAGGTCCGACTGGATGATCACAATGGTACTTTCTGGCCTTGGAATCTATGAGGAGACAATCCCATGAGGGGAGGAAGAGAAATCTTGCAAGCAGATTTGTTATTTAGCTTTCACTTCTTATGAGTTATAAGCTATTTCCATACTGGAGGCCTTTCCGTTTCCTCAAGGAAATATGTGGCGTATTTCTCTCTCACATACATGCAAACATATGTGGATATCTATATTGCGTTTGTATGTCTTTCAAACCTAAATGTATCTAATAAGATATTCTTGTAGCTAGTTTCTAATTAATCTCCTGTTTGTTAGTAGAATTTAAATAGCCCATTCCTTTAGCAAGAAATGAATTTTATATATGCTACCTAGATTCAGTTAACTTATATTTTAAGCACTTAAAAAGTCAGAAAAACTAGATCTGGGCGGACTTCAGTTGCACAATCCTTTGTCTAGCTATTAAACATACCAGCTTTATAGATTATTTCCATGTGACTGGTTTGCAAGTGAACTAGGGGAGAAGTGCTTGAGCTAACTCTATCACGATTACAGGCTGAGCAAAAAATTTTTGGAGAAGTTTTTTTGTGGGGAAAAGGCAGTTTCAGGTCCGTCATTGCTACTGTTACAACTCCTAGTCGTGATGTCAGTGGATAGTCATTGGGCTAAGGAAAGAGTGAGTGATTCTACAGCCTTGTAGTTAGCGCCTTCGCCTAGAATGCAGGCAACCCAAGTTCAACCCCTGCTCCAATGGTTATTTATAAAAGTGGAACCATTTCAAGAGGAGAGATTGAGAATGCCCGAGACACTGGGATATTCTGGTATGAGGCTCTCTCCTGCCATGTGGGAGACGAACCCTTTCTGCACACCAGAGAGAGAGGAGTTGAACCTCAGTCTCCCACATCTCGGGTGAGAACCATAACTCCATTGGGTTAGGGTTGAGGGAAGCTTCTCCTCCTCTGGCCACTTTGTAAATCCTTCCCTTTCAATTGGTGAAAATACTTGAAGATTAGGGCTGTCGTGCAATTAAAAAAATGAATAGAATACCATTTATTGAAAGATTTTTGGATGTTTTCTACATTTTCAAATCTATTGATTTCAATTACAACACAGAATACAAAGTGTACAGTGTTCACTTTATATTTTTTTTATTACAGGTATTTGCACTGTAAAAAAACAAAAGAAATAGTATTTTACAATTCACCTAATACAAGTACTGTAGTGCAATCTCTTTATCATGAAAGTTGAACTTACAAATGTAGAATTATGTACAAAAAACTGCATTCAAAAATAAAACAAGGCAAAATTGTAGAGCCTGCAAGTCCACTCAGTCCTACTTCTTGTTCAGCTCAGACAGACAAGTTTGTTTATTTGCAGGAGACAAAGCTGTCTGCTTCTTGTTTACAATGTCACCTGAAAGTGAGAACAGGCGTTTGCATGGCACTGTTGTAGCCGGCATCACAAGATATTTATGTGGCAGATATGCTAAAGATTCGTATGTCCATTCATGCTTCAGCCATCATTCCAGGGGACGTGTGTCCATGCTTATGATGGGTTCTGCTCGATAACAATCCAAAGCAGTGTGGACCGACTTAGAAACATAGAATATCAGGGTTGGAAGGGACTTCAGGAGATCATCTAGTCCAACCCCCTGCTCAAAGCAGGACAAATCCCCAGACAGGTGTTTTTTTTACACCCCAGTTCCCTAAATGGCCCCCTCAAGGATTGAACTCACAACCCTGGGTTTAGCAGGCCAATGCTCAAACCACGGAGCTATCCCTCCCCCCTTCTTGATATTTTTTTGTTGAAAAATGTCAAAAACTATCATTTTTGTTTGACCCCCAAACAATTTATTTTAATTGCCAACA